AAAAATATATTGGAACATCTTAAAATTACCAGCCCTACCAGTGGAAACAAAATGATGGCAATTAAAGGTAATAAAGGTTATTAAAAGTTAGGGCCTTGGAGGCTAAGAAGTCATGTTAGACTGTCAATTGTTTTCCCATGGTGGGAAATCAGTTAGAAATTAAAAAAAAAAAATCTAGTAGTTTAGTTGTGGTCAAAGAAAGAAGTCAGTGGGGATGGGAAGGTTTCAGCAACATGCTGGTAAAAAAAGAGAGACTTACATAGTCTGGGAGGGCAGTGAAATGGAAGGCGTGGTAACCTCGCTCACTTAGTTGTCATTTTTGATTTTCAATGACATTTTTTTCATTCGTTCGCCTAGTAAAGATGACAGAAGGTCCTAATTTATTATCTGACGTCTATTCCTGTTCCTAAATTTAAGAGCGTTTAACTGTATACAGTCATATAATCCAAATACAGACACTTTGAAGAAAAAAAAAAACCTAAAGCATTGAGGTGGCATGCATTCGATTACACTTGTAACCGCAACCGTGAACCAGAGAGGTAAGAACTCGTAGGGGTCGGGGGTGGGGATCAGCGGACACAGCCCAAGTGACCGTGGATTTGCGAGTTCCTCAGGTTAAAGCAGTAGAACGGAGGGGATCGTCACAAAGAGCTAAGCTTCCTAAAACGGTAAGAGCCATGGATTCTAGAAGAATGCACAATTAAAGTTCTCCGCATGGCTGGTTTGGTCCGCATACCATCTATGCGCAAACAGAACTGTTCGAACTATCCGTGACATACCAGCAGAGATCGTCTCTACATCAGATGCCTTTTCCTGCTCGGGTTAGGCTGCATTTGAGATGACCGGGGAAGTTTGCATGGACACTTTTTTATAAACATGACCTGGCAGATCATGTGGGCTTGACAGAAGGGAAGACAAGTGTAGTGTAAATTTCTACGTGTGTATGTAAATCGTACCGTGGCCAGATCAGATTAGGCAATGCCAGGGGGCCCCCGACATTTCCTCTCACTTCCCCTTTCTGGGTGCACATCAACACATGTCGGGCTGGCAAGGGGAGGGTGCTCGGGAAGTTTTTGTAAATAAATAAACAAAGAGATTTGCATAAATTAAGCTCTGTGAAGAAAACCACCCAAATGGCAAAAAGCCCTTGCTTCGATAGCTGATTTGTGCATTTTAAGGCGCATGAAGGGGGTATGAAAAAGCACAGAAAAGAAAAAAAAAAAATAGAGAAGACTTTTCATAAGGAAGGCATCAAAGGAGAAGGAAATAACACTGGAAAAAACCCCAAATAAATGATTTAATGCCAAAGTCATCTCCTAGCATTACAAATGCTGAGCAGTAGCGAAACACAGGAATTTGGGAGTTCAGTTCTCTAGTGGCAAATATCACATCTGTTCATCTGGTCTCCTACAAATACTTTTCCTATTCTCATGAACCACCTCCAGGAGAGTTTTTGGTAAGGGCATGGTGTTTCTTCCACTTGTTTTTAAAGAAACTATCTCTGGAGGAAGTTTAGAGTCAAAAGGTGTATGACATTTAGCCAAAATTATTCACACAACGAACAATCCAAATAACGGTTAGTCAGTTTCCATAGGTAGGTACTCATTGGCGTACGTTTATTTCGAAGAACGGATCTTCTGCAAAAGACTCTTAACTACACTATAAACGATCGTTATTATTACTTAAGAAGGAGCAGGACAGGGTAATCTTAGTTCGATTAACATTGTTAAAAATTACGCTACCATTAGCCTGAAAATATCGATGAACAGCTTCCGGCTTTGGGGCTCCCTTCGCTGTGAGTTTACTCTTACCACCCCGATTGTTTATAGCGTGCTATTCTGATGAGAACACAGAAAAAGAAGCAAGGAAATTTCTGTGCACCCAGCTCATCCGCATGCAACCCCAGGGTAATCCCACTCTCAGAGGAACACACACGAGTCAGCAGAGAGCCACGTTCTCGGCTTCTCCAGGCCGACCTCCTTGCCTGAATGAGAGCCTCGCCGTGCCAGGCAACAGGAAGCCAGCAGCTGCTGCTGGAGGGAATGTCTTGCATCTGCCAGGTCCCTAACACATGTGGATTAGAATGGATTGGGTCTGCCTCGCGGCGAGGCCCACAGCCGCCTAGCTCCGAGATCACCTGGTTCTACTCTCGGCCTGTGACGTACTACATACGGGTATGTCTGAAGAAATGTAAGGACTTGGCAGTGTCTGGTGACAGCTTGTTTGGAGGGTGTTGGCCTCTCTGAAGCGATCAGTGATGACTATCAAGTCCACGGATGACAAGACCCCAATACCGCACTGGTTGCTACTCTCAGCTGCTTGCGCTTGCCCCGAGGAGAAGGAAACGCTGAGGTTGATATTGACATCATCAGGGCAGATGAGCACCTACTAGGCAATATGTCAAGTTAGCCTCAGGTGTCTTATTTTTTCGTGTTTTTTTTTTCCAACACATTAAATTGCTTCCAACAGGTTACGTCGCTCAACCTCAGGGCACAAAGGCCAGCCCAGGGGAGCACAGATGTTTTCGGATTTGTTTCAGGCACACCCCTCGCTCAGCATTAGGACTAAGTTGCACAGGAGAGAGAGAGAGAGAGCAGCCGCGGCCACACGCTCCCGTTTGCAGGTGACTTCCGCCTTCTCCTGTCTAAGGAGAAGCGTGCGGCTATGCGTTCCCGCGAAGCTAGGCCTGCAAACGCTGGCTGACCTAATTTAAAATACGAGCTCTCGCTGAGCTCCCTTTGCATGAAGTTCTTCCAAGCATTAGCTATTTCTTTGTTTGCTCAGTTCTCATTTCATAAAAAGTCACCCATCTTTGTCCAGGCCCGGTGACCTCCATTCTCTCCCTCCCCAAAGCACGTTTCGTCTCCTGCTAGCCTCTGCCTTAATCACTTTTATTTGTGGGACACCAGGGAGGGGATGGTAATGCTTAGAGTCGGGAAGAATATCAGTCTTTAAAAAATTATTCTTATTACGATCATGTTTAGATGAAATATGGGGCTTGCCATCAACAAAATTACAAAACAATTCCACCGGGAGTCCAGACCGTTCAGGGCAATTCATCTACGAAAAGGCGAACTTTAATTGTTACTCTTGGCAGCAGTCTAAGAGAAGAGTGGAATATGATACTAAATATTGCCACGTGCAATAGTAAAATGCTCTTTCCTCCTTGCCAGAGCACCGTACGGCCCCCTTCGGACTCAGGTTTGGATCTGGGGAGTTATTCGAAATCCTCTGTTTCCCCCTCTCCAAAACCAACAGAGGTTTTCAAAAGAGTTGCATTTTTTATTAGAACCATTCGCTCTTTTTAACTTGCCAAAAAGGGATAAGTAAAACTAAGGCTTTTATTTGGGTTAAAGTTGATTCCTCGGCTTCATGGAGGTCAATGTACTTAGTCTGTGAACCCTCTACCAAAACGTTCATCGCAGCACTGACCCCGCCAAGGTTGTATTTTGGACCCTTCTTCCCCCTCCCCAAACCCACCTCCCAGCCTCGTGGATTTATATAGGAAGAGCTGGCAGGGTGTGGAGGCTAATCAAAATGAAACGTACCCCTATGGCAAAGTACGTCCTGGATTTTCTATGACAGACAGCTGACATTTCAAATATTTTTAATGCTGCACATCACAATGGCTGTTTGGGGATCGAGTGCCTTGATTTGGGCTTCAGACAATGTGATCCCAGCACGTATTTACAGCTCTTTAGATTACAGGTTCATTGAACACGGCTGCACCATATAGGTTATGAGTATGGAGAGGTCCTTGATAATACTGAAAAGCAGAGGGATATTTTTCTTTTTCTAAAAATGGAGTGAAGTCTTCGGTGAAGATGTTAACCAAAGACATATTGTATATGGCACAGGTTATCTGATACATTTACAGGTTTGGGCTAAGCATGAGACTATAATAAGCCATTTGCAAGTAGTTTTTTTTAAATTACATTTTACATTTCCAGCATGGATATATGCATACATTGGGTATAATTTCACTAAAGACATATTAAAACCATATTTAAGAAATCATAGGTAGATAATATTATTCAGCTTCTAAAATGTTTAAGTTGGGGAAGTTAGGGCCCAAAAAAGTAAACGGCTCGCCCAGGATTATTCAACATGTTACCGATGATCCGAGGACCAGAATCTCAATTTTGAACTAGATATTCCCTATGGTATGGGATGCTCTTTTTCACCCATAGGGATAGATAATGATACCAAGACCATTTGGGAGTAAATTTAAGTATGCAGATATAACCAAGAGTAGTCTTTGTTGTAACTTAACTTAATGGGTTAAAACTGAGGTCATGTGAATGAAGCTTTAGGACATCTGCTTTATGTAATTATTTTCTTTTTATTATAACATACGTTATGGATGACGACGAGCAAAATGGCTACCATGAGTAAGAGAGTTTGAGGGAACTATAATCCTCAGCCATGAGAAAAATAGCACTTATTACATATTGTACATAAATGTATACAGACTGTGTGTTATAAAGCTTCCTAAGAACTTCTCATTTATATAAAGTGATGTCTTAGAGTTAGCTGTTGTGGCAGCTTAAAAAGAAACAAAAACAAAATGTAGAGAAAGCATGGCCTACCAACTAATAGTGAAAATAAACCAGTGAGTCTTTAAGTGGAAGCAATCCCTACAGAAGATGAGGAATTTTTAAATACATTGGTACAAATACCACTCAGATAACCAATGACAGTGATAATAAACGAATTAAAAGCCCCATAGGTCGACTATACTTGGATGGTTGTCTTTTAAGAGATTGACCTATGATGTGGGAAGCCAAGGAAATCTGCCTTCTATGTGTTGTTTGAATTGAAAAAAAAAAAAAAATGAACCTGCCTTTTCTTTACTAAAAGGGCAAGCTCCTTGTGTGTCGGCACACAATTTCAAGTTTCTTTTCAGGGATTCCATTTCCTGCTCTCCATTTAAAATGGGGGGGGGGAGGGGCGGAAATAAAAATATTTTGCCTGTGACAGAATATGAAAGAAGTTCTCACCCTTAAAACCCGCAGCATTGGTTTTCCAGTCATTAGCGTTCAAATGTCCTGCACGGGAAGTCCTGACAATAACATGCTGCACGTCTCTCCAGGTCAGAAACGGACTGGGGAAAGACAAGGTAAGAATCATTGTACCAAAAAAAAAAAAAAGATGGGGGAAGCAGAGAGTCACAAGCAAATTAAAAAAGCAAAAGCAGAATGGCGAAGTACTAAAAACAAAGGCTCAGTGATTCGGGGTTGGGGTGAACAAATGCGGCTCTGGGTCTCAACGTGGAGAGGTGACGTTAGTCTGAGGGAGGCAGAAAACGTAACCTTAAATTTAGGAAATACTGTGGTATTGGTCAGTTGTAACTCAGTGTTTAAAAGGGTGAGGATTTCCAGTTTTCCTCAACAAAATGGCTCCCGGTTCGGGCCCGGCCATCCTTTATGTAAAAGCTTGCGTCGGAACCTGAAAATTACCGTAAGCTAAAGCCAAAACTGAAGTCTTCTGGAACATTCCTTGTCCAGCTACATAGCCAGACAATCGCTTGCGTAATTTAACAAAGAACTAGCAAGGGTTAGCATTTTGCGTGTACGTACAGGATAAGGAGAAAGCCTCAAATGAACCGAGTCCCTGTCGTCCGTGTTTTCAAAGAAAGAGAATTTAGCGCGGAGCCCAAAGCTGGGCCCGAGACATAGGTATGGGAGTATCCTTAACTTGCCATGAGTGATTATTATATTAAATTGCTGGATACCTATTTCTTGCGACTGTTAGCACTGAAGGCACAGAGTCACTGAGTAGAGAAGAAGTTCCTTTCATTGGAGAACCTCGACACCACTCATAAACCTACAGAAAACCAATCCCAGTACATGTGCGCAAAGAGCATCTATCTACTGGAAAGTGTCTGACTCCATGCACGCGTGAAATTCTGATCAAGATGCTTATTATTTCCGTCTTGACTGTCAGGTGTGCCAGTCTTTTACTTAATTGGGAAACGTGGCCGTTATCAGGCAGCTTGGGTACTTATTTGTCACCTGCCACCTTCATTTTAGAAGGATACTTGCCGAGGATGGGCCAGAACATGGAGGGGAGGGGGACAACGATCTGAGGTGTGACAGGAGCAAGTTGCAGTCCCTTTGGCCCCTCGTATGCAGCCCACGGACGCTGGCCTCTCCCAGGCAGAGGAAAAACTGGTGTCTTAATTCCAGCTAATTCCACGATGGAGGTGCACACGCGGCTTCACTTCCTACTACGTGTTCCCATCACCCTTGCCACATACACGTTTTTGAGAGTGGCCTCCTAACAAAGGGGGCCCAGGGATCAGATCCTGGCTCTTTCATTTTCCACTTCTGTGAAATTAACTTCTCGAGGTTTCAGTGTCCACATTTAGCATGTGGACGCTAAGATCTATTCCACTTCATTATACTGGTGGAATCAAAGTGATGCCAAGTACTTATTTTGGTGCAAGATAAGCCATCAAGAGGTGGCAGACAATACATTCTGCTACGTGTTGAGCCACGGCTCTCATTTGGTGGCTTGAACATGAAGGAGATGGGGAGAAAAAGGTACTGTAGAGTCCTGACACCTTTTTGCTATGCCTTCAGATGAAACCTCAAACACATAGTACTGCCATTTCCAAAGTTTTCAGAGGGGGCAGGATTGGATGTAGACGATTTTGCAAGGTTGCGTTAACAAAATAACTACTAACGAAGCGAAAACCTAACCTCATGAATTTGAAAAATATAAGAACACTGAAAAACGACTTAGTTCTGTTTTGTTTTACCCAACACTTGCTAGGGACCAATTTTAGAACCCGATAACGCATGAAACCCTGGAGGAAGGGAGGGAGTCGGTTTGAGGGGGGCCCAGGAGGCAGGGAAGTTTCACTTCTAAAACAAATAGCACGATCTGGCCCTTTGCTGACTGATACCGAATCCACCGTAAGAATTCAGTAAACTCATTGTGCCATGGTCAAGAAAACTAGGAAAAGAGTCAAGGGATAATTCTACTTCTGAACGCGAAGGTCGACATAAGATGTTTTTCCTGATCTGCCTGATACAATGTTAATCTCCTTTCAACTTTCCCAGTGTCGTGATTTGAGTGAGGGGCAAACGCAACAACAACAAAAGCTCAGTCTGGCAAACCTTTCCAGACGCTTCTTTGTGGTTCAGCATAATCCTCTCAAATGGGCATGCTTGCTTCGCTTTTCTCCATGAGCAAACAGCAAGATATATGTAGGTGTACTCGGATTTGATAAGTATGTCTAAATCAACCTAGGGATTTTAAAATAACATTTAACACGCAGCTAAAACTTCCACACTTTAAATATTACTCTTTATGGGGGGAGAAAAGAAAAGACGAGAAAAGACGAGAAAAGACGAGAAAAGACAAGAAAGGAAAGGAAAGGAAAGGAAAGGAAAGGAAAGGAAAGGAAAGGAAAGGAAAAAGAAATGAAACCACTTTCCTATGTTACTTATCACCAGGGCAAGATTCTTTTGGAAACATCAAACACAAGGTTCTGACCATTGGGAGGCCATTTCCCTAGTGGCCCTTAGCACTAAAAATATAATAATGATGATGATGATGATGGGGATGATAAAGGCAGCATGGGGAACATTTATCTTGTGACTTAAGCAGTTGTATTCAGGCAGATTCAGGAAGCCTCCCGCATTCAATTCAGCCTGAAGAAATAAGAGTTACTTGCTCTCACGCTGAGTTGTAAAAACTAATTCTTCTTGGAGTACTTGTAATTAGAAGGAAGGAATTAGCTTCAGGAAATTGAAACTACGCATGGAAAGAAGGAGGCGTTGAGATAATTTCACTCTGGCATTTGATAATACGCAACTTCAGAAATCATTTAATTTCAAAATGTCCTGTATTTCACCAAAGTAAAGTGAGGAAGTTAGTACGGGAAACCGATGGATTTTTCCATCAGTGGCATTGCTACCCGTGGGAGGGGAACTAATTAGCTCAGGAAATAGCCATAGGTTAATTTGCTGGTATCCGGAGAAGACTTGGGTTTACAGGGACATCTGATTCGCATTTTGGGACTTATTTGTATTTATGCTCTCAGGGATGTTGCAGACGTGAAGGGATCGGACTATGAAGCTTCTGGGATGCCACACACAGATCGAAAGAGACGGGAAGGCTGCAGCCCTGAGCTGGGAACGTCACAGTCCGCGGCGCTGAAAGTAGGGCCCCCTGAAACTTACCCCTTCCGCCAATGACCCTGGCCCCACATTCCACTGGCTTCTGAACGTCAAGACCCCTCTCACCTCCAAGAATAGAAGATGGAGCACTAAGAACTTCGGGGCAAACGATAATCAAGAGGCCACAAGTATAACTGACCTGGAGGAAAAGAGCAGTTTCTCTCCATTCTGAGCCTGGGGACCACGGACCCCATAAAAGGCCACAAGGATTTAGGCCACACACACCCCTTAGGTTTCTGGAACAAATGGCAGTCACCTTTAAACGACAGTATGCGGTAAAAGGGCGACATTTCCAAATCCCTGCAACATGTGGCTAGCTACCTATGAGCTTTCAAGGCAATAGAATACAAGGGACTTTCTGGAGACTTCTGTACATGTAATCTTTTCCCGGTAGGAAGCTTTGCATCGATCAAAGACCTCGAATTACTAGCCAACATTAAATGAGCCCTTGGCCACGGCCAGGTGCTACATGTTGAGCGTGATTGATTGATTGATTGATTGATTTGAGGGAGAGGGAGAAGGAGAGGGGCAGAGGGAGATGAACAGAAGGAGAGAATATCTTAGGCAGGCTCCACGCTCAGCGTGAGATCACAACCTGCGCTGAAATCAAGAGTCGGAGGCTCAACCGACTGAGCCACCCAAGCGCCCCTGTACGTGCATTATTACTGTGTGATCTTAAACATCTTATGAATATAAGTAACATTTTTATTCCCATTTCACAGACGACAAAACTGAGACACGGAGCTACACAAAGTCACTCTAGTATATACAGGTACTTAGTGAGTGGCAGGATGACGATTCCAACCAGCTGCCCCTGGCTGGCGGTGGCTTCTATGCTGTCACGTACTATTTAAAAGCACGTCCAGGGGCGCCTGGGTGGCGCAGTCGGTTGAGCGTCCGACTTCAGCCAGCTCACGATCTCGCGGTCCGTGAGTTTGAGCCCCGCGTCGGGCTCTGGGCTGATGGCTCAGAGCCTGGAGCCTGTTTCCGATTCTGTGTCTCCCTCTCTCTCTGCCCCTCCCCTGTTCATGCTCTGTCTCTCTCTGTCCCAAAAATAAAAAATAAACGTTGAAAAAAAAAAATTAAAAAAAAAAAAGCACCTCCAGGTGGACCCCCAGAAGGCAGAATGAACGGACGCATGTTGGTTCGCTCGGTAGTTCTTCGACAATTGGATCAGGAAGCAACATGTGGCATGCCATGTCCTCGTGGTCACGCTATTTTTGCACCTGCACTCTCTCTCTCTCAGCTCAGTTGAATTTTGGTTCTCTGGCTGAATTTTGATTACCACAGAATGCAGGAGAGTCTCGAGCCTTAATCTGGGTCTTAGGTTCCAAAGGCTTAACTTTGGCATACTCCCTCGAAGGTAAATAGAAAGATACCAAACTAGGAAATATATGATTTTTATAATAAAATACAATATTATATGCCTGTACTGGAGAGCAGAACGTGATTATATTATTTAACTTTATGGTCATGAACTTGCCACCTTGCTTGACATGCTCACACTTTAATGTGGTTTATAGTTTGGCTATTCCAGTCCGGGAGCTGCACCTGAACCCCAGCACAAACACTTCTCGTTGCTAGCAGCAAAAACAGGATAATTAGTGACACTGTCACTACTGGTATCTGTATTCTGTTTTTGTTCTGAGCAGTTCAAAGTGTTTGGTGGCCTCAACAGTAGGTTCAGAAGAAGCAGGACTTGGGCGCCTGGGTGGCTCAGTCAGTTAAGTGTTCAACTATGGCTCAACTTACGAAATCGTGGTTTGTGGGTTCGAGCCCTGCCTCGGGCTCTGTGCTGACAGCTCGAAGCCTGGAGCCTCTGCTTCGGATTCTGTGTCTCCCTCTCTCCCTGCCCCTCCCCTGCTTGTACTCTGTCTCTGTCTCTCAAAAATAAATAATAAAAACAATTAAAAAA